AAAAAAAAAAAAAAAAAATTGCAATTCATACGATAGATCGAATATTAAAGCCAGTTTTTCATTTCCACACCTGTTGATTGCGCCTTTGATTGTCCGTGTTGCTATAATTCCTTGTTTTTGCTCGACGTATCGTTGACACGTCATTGCCGCTATTGCGAAGTTTCACCAAACAACGGACATTGTACCCGAATCCCCATTCTGTGATCCAACGACAGCTTTTTTCCTATTTGCGAATATCCATTTCAAAAAGTCACTTCAACATCCACGAGAATCTCTGTAACGATGTCTTGCGTCGTTGTTCAAAAGCATCAAATGATACTTGGAATAAAAAAATTTACAGTACAGATAGCGTTCAGGAGAGGTCACAATCGACCTTGATAAAACATTTTCTGACGAAAACATGTTCGCTCGTTTTCGTCGATACTCATTATTTATCGATTTAATACTATTGATTATTGAAATGCTAAATTACTCGACTATATTACCGAAATTGATAGTTTGTCTGTTTTTATTTATCTGCTCTAGTTCAATGTGTGGCAAAATTTGGAGAAAAGAGATTTCCAAAGCGGAATTGCCAAAACAATCTGCTCGTTTCAAAATCATCTCTTCTTTAGAAGAAAAAGAAGAAAACTTTCCCATTTTCTCCAAAACTTTTAAATTCGAAATTCCTAAAGAACCAGGCTGGAAAACTTAAAATTTACTTAATTTCTACAATTCAAAATATCCTAATTACTTTTGACATGGGTTTTTCCAAGCTTCTTCCGCAAAGTCAACATGCTGAAATCTCCAAAAGCGCGAGGAATCGTCACCAGGTGTAAGCCGAGATCGAAGCAGCATCATCTGTAAATATCAATTTCTCGTCGAATGGTTTGAATGGTTGAATTCCTTCGTGTATTGATCTGAGTCTGTCACTCCACCTACTTGCGACAAGGCATCTCCGCATAACAACCACTGGAAATATACGTTCTAACGTTCGTTATTTGGCCAAACCCTGGAGGTGCATTTCTCTCTTAGCCTTAGGTTTAGCAACTCCCTGGCTCAGAACAGGAAACGTGCAAGGATAGATATGTTCCAGGTGGTTGTAAATCCATTGCACATATAATGGTCACGTTGATACATGGCTCGATTCTTGCGCGGAATATGTGAGACGAGATAGGATATATGCTATAAAAATTTTCACGTGGCAGTCCCTGACTTTACGAACTCGTATCACGTTTAGCTGAAGGACTAGAGTAGGGAATATTCAAAAAAGTAGTAACAAAGGAAATTTAATGGAAGAAAATTAATTACTGAAAATAGATCTGAAATTATAGGTATACTGTTATTGTTGGATGATAGTAGAAAATAATATGAAATATTTAAGAAACATAAACAAAGAACAGGATCCATTTAGAAAAATATAGAATAAAATGTTTAATTCAAGGGAGAATACTCAGATTGAATATCTCCAGTATATTTAATTTGGAAAACATCCGAGGACAAAGACATCATTATTAGTTTACTAATTCTTCTGTTCTTATAAAATTATATAATAGTCAAACCGATTCGTTTTGTGCATAGTGGATCCACGCCGATGAAGGTGCTGGCGGAGCTAGCGTGCGCCCGAGCACCGACAACCACCACCGGGGACTCAGCACATCAAAAATCCGCCCAATTCGCGAAGACCACTCTGACCAAGAACGCGACCCCGAACCCGAGTCCCGTACCGGTGTCCAAGGACCTCCAGAAAAAGTCCAGGAATCCTATCAAGGAGCTGTTCGAGAGGAAGAAAGAGATGAACGAGAGGAAACAGCAGGAAAAGTCAAAGAACGCAGAGGCGGCGCTCAAAGAGCTGAACATTCACAGGCAGAGGAAAACAAAGAAGACGAAGAAGCACCAGGATTTCCCTCTGATACGACGTAACGAGCACGGAGGCCTGGTCGAGAGGAAGAAACGACGGGATGGCTTCGAGAGGAAGGAGGAATTCGCGTCGGACAGGATCAAGGACATCTACGAGTTCGACGAGGAGGAGAGCCAGATGGAGCCGAATCTAGGTAGCGTGATGTCCTACAGAAGCAGGCCAGGGTACGAGGTGAGCTGCTTGAGAACCAAGGAGGTGGACGTGGCCGGGTTGATGTCCAAGGCTATCGGGGATACTCTGGAGAACGGGAAGACCACGGATGCTCTGAGCACCAGGCTCGAGTCCATGATCGACAGGAAGTTCAAGGAGCTAGAGAAATTCGCCCCGAAGACGAAGGGTGCCCTGAAAGCGTTCCAGAGCGAGGACCAGCAGAGGCAGATCACCGGGCCCATGGACGAGTTCGTGGAGAGGAAGCCGACGAAAACCTCGAAGAAACTCGCGGAACAAACTTCGACCCCGACAACGAGGCACCCGAAACTGAAGAAGAAGAGCAAGAACTCGAAGAAGAAGGCGAGAAACTCGTGGTACGAGAACGACAGCTCCGACGAGTACAGAACTGCGGTGAAGGCCGAGGACGTCGGCGTGGGGATCTCCAAGAGTCAGAGAACCTGTTCCAAGGGGAAGCAGAACATATTCGCGGAGCTGTACACCTCGTCGGAAAGTGAGTTCGAGGACGAGGACGCGGACTACGAGTCGAAGAGGCAGAGGAAAGTGAAGAAGAACAGCAAGAAGGAGACAGAGCTGGAGAACGTGGAGCAAAGCGAGGAACTCGAGGTAGGCAAGTACACCTCCGACAACGAGGACCATGCGGATGACTGGAAGAGCCAGGACTCGAAGAACGACGCCTCGAAGCACGATTGCGATAACAAAAAGTCCGAGTCAGAGATGTCTGACCATCCTCTGGTCATCGACGAGAGAAAAGACGTGGACGAGCAGAGGAACAGCGACGATGAGACTGAGAATCAATACGAGAGGAACTTCGAGATGGACGACCTGTACAGAGAGGACAGTTCGATCGTTGACTCAGACGTGGAGGACTCGGTCCCCGTGGAACCAGCGAAAGTCCCAGAAGAGGTCACGGTGAAGAGTCCAAGCTTATCGGAAGAGAAGACCGATGCTGAGAAGGTGGATTACATGCAGGGAAGCGAACTGATCCCACTGGAGGAGGCTTTAGATCTTCTAGACCAGGCTGACAACGAGAACTCCCTAGGAGCGAAATACGGTGAGGTAAAAAAACCCGACAACTGTCGTGTTAACCCAGTCGTGACGGTAGAGCCTGAAAACGAAACGTTCAATCCTGTCGAGGATGCTGATCTACTTGGCAAAGCGGCCAAGTCTCCCGCTCCCATAGAAGAGCAAGAAGAAGAACCTGATAACGATCTTCTGGCCTTGCCGGAAAAATTGTCGAGCAACGAGAAACCGCAAAAGGAATCGGAAAATCTACCACTGCACGTGTTCCTAAGTAGGAAGGTGCAGGAGTCGAAAAAGAGAAAAGAACAGCAGCTGAAGAAGATGCAGGAGGAACAGGAGAGGATACTGCTGAACTTCCAGCCGACCAGGAGACAGAGGAAGTGCGCTATCGGAAAGCAGGGATTATTAGCGGAGATTAGCAGCTCGGACGAGGAGATATCTCCGAGAGACAGGAAAGTGAACGACAAACCGGAGCACGACAAGCCGAGGAAACAAAAGAGGGAATCGAAGGAAAAGAGGAAAGAGAGGTATATAGAGAAGAAGCACGAGCAGATGATAGCCAAGGAGCAAAAGGCCATCGAGGAGGAAATCCTCAGGGAGGTTGGAAAGAAAAAGGAGTCCCTTGCGCAGAACAACACCGACGTACAGAATATTACGGACATCAATGGTACGAAGAAACCGACGGAGGAGGACACCGAGTCCGCGGAGAACAAGGTGCCGCAAGAGCCGGCGCAAAAGAAGAAACATCAGACGAAAGAGAAACAAAAGAAGCAGACCAAGACGGACGAAGAAGACCCGTATGCCAAGAACAACCACGAAGTACTGAGTGATCTGGAGAACAACTGCAACAAGCCCCCATTGACAGAAACCAATCACGAGATCACCGAGAATAATCAGGAATCGCCTGCGAAGCAGAAGAAACACTTTAAATCACCGACGAAGCCGAAGAAGACTCCGAAATCAGACCAAAAAGTCATACCAGTGAGGAAGAGCAAAAACTCGAACGTCGACAGGAAAACCAAGACGGACTCCAAGGGGGCAAAAGATAAAGAACGAAGGTCGTCTAGTGGCAAACGAGATTCCGACGACGAGGAACTGAAGACGACCAAATCTTGGAACAAGGTCGAAGAGGGAGTTGGAGTGGCCATCGGTCGACGGAAGCGAGCAGCTGCCAATCAGCTGTACTACTGGTCCAGCTCCAGTGACGAAGAAGAAATGCTGGAAATGGTTCCCGCGATCGAGGAGGAGGAGGACGACCGCCAGGAGCAACACGGTTGGATCGTCGGCGACTCGCACAAGAGGATGATCACGATGCTCGCCATGGAGAAGCAGTTGAAGGAGAAACGGCGAAGGAGCGAGGACGAGTTCGAGCCTGGTCGAGCGAAGAGCAAAAAGCACAGGAACAGCACCTCTTGATACGTGTTCCACGACTAGGTTCGTAGCTGGAACGGAAATTAAAAGAACGACAGTTTCAAAACTGTAACAGGAACATGTTGAGTTCCTTTCATCGGATCTGGTCAACAGCGTGAGAACCACGATTCTTGATACGCAAGTCAGACTCAGCTGGACGCCTAGAAGAGGCTTCCGAAGAGTACAGCGACAACTGCGACACCTGAAAGAAAAAAAGAAAAATGAAAATCAGAGACGTGTGCAGCGAGGAGAGACAGACGCAGAGAAAGAAAGAGAACGCAGGAAAACTTTTGATACGCATTTCACCACTAGCTTTCTTTTTTCCAAATGAAGAAGCACACCCTCCCATCGTTTTTTCTAAAACACTTAGAAATCGATTTTAGAAGAACCGGATTTCTTAATTAACGCGCGTTAGAAGAAACAAGACGACTAAAAGATGAGAGACTTTTGTAAACGGAAGTAGCATAACCGGATCTTTTGATACTAGTCTTAGGCTCGCAGAGGTAAACGTAAGAGACGTTAGATTCGTTAAGGTAGCTAAAGGCACGCTAGATAGTAACGTAAATCCGAATCATCTTCGGCGATTATCATTTGTTTCTTTGCTGGTGGCAACAGCAACGAAGTGACAGTTTGTAATTAATTCACGAAAGAAGTATGTAGAACGTGTATCTGACCGAGAGCTGTAGAATCGAAGCAATTAGGACAAAAAAAAGACCATATCTTGCA